GATTGAGTGTGCAATTTATTTTGCATGTAAACGATTGACATCATGAAGGTAAAAATTCTCATAGGACAACCCTTCTTAGAATGACTACATGTTTTACTACTGGAACTTTCAATATGCTGTCAGGTAAACAGTAATTGCTTGCATGTTCAGCAACAGCAAATTAAATTCTTAGAAGAAGGTAGACAACATTCTCAGTTGGTAGCTTCTGTTGGCACGAGACTATATCGAAGACTGTTTGAAGATAGCGTTGTTTGAAATAAAATATCAGGAGTTACTTTAAACATGTCAAACCATAAAATAAAAGCAAAAATTCCTCATCATTAATGAATGAAGTGGCTCAGTGTGTATTCCCTATTTTAAAATGACAGTTTCATGGTCAATTACTACTTAAAAGTCCTTTCCATTAAATGGAATTGGAGTTATGTATTAACCGGTGAAATGGCATCAGTAGCCTAAATGATTGAGCGCTGGCCATGTCTAATTTTCGAAGCTCTTTTTCCATTTCATCGTTCTACTTACGAAGCTCGGTTCGTGTGTTGGATGTAGTTTTGAGGTCTTTGGCACAGAATATGCCTCCTTTGCTAGGTATACAAGGATATACTAACATCTGGATGACTTCCTTATTGCATTTTGGGCACACGAATTGTGACTAGGTACATTGCAGGGTATATCAGGTCTTATGACGTGCTCGTGTCTTTGCAATGTGCAGAGCTTGCAAGTGGTTCGGATCTTACTATAAACTGTAGGTCTAAAGGGTGTGGTACAAAAGATTCTGTTCTAATTTGAATCGCAATGCCTCCAGTGCAAAACGCTGGGCCCTCTCTGGGTTGAGCGTCTATTTTGCTGTAGCTATTGACAGTTGCTAAAATTCTAGAAAATCAATCTTTAATCAAAGTTTTAAAATTCATTCTTTTTCAAAAGTCTTCTTGGACTTTTTTTATCAACCCTTGTGTCGCGGTTTAAATGCTAGCCACCACTGGTCTAGAGAACTTAATGCTAGATAAAAAAAAAATTTAAATTTATGACCCCACATTCCTTATTTGTGTGAAACTTAATTAATAATAAATCAGTATTATACAAATTATTTGAGTGAATCTGTAAAGTAGAATTGACGGTACCTTTGTTTAAAAGGAGCTAAAATGAAACAACTTTTCTAATATTACTACTGTATTGAACCTTCAATATGAGGTTGTAAGGTGCATCACTAGTACAAACATATTATTTAAAATAACGATAATAAATTGTTACATTCGAAAATAAGGCATTTCAACCCCCAACCCAAGCGTCTTCTCATAACCAAAGAACAAGAAATTTTAGCAGCAGGGAGGCTTCCCTCCATTAATCCACCCCAGTAAGTAATGATAATAAAACAAAATTTCTTTTAATTCTTAATTTTCATTACTTTGATGAATGTTTGTAAAAGTAATTAAGATACTTTAAAATAATGAAACGTAAAGAAAAGCCAGAAATCAACAAAATTTATGTACCATTTTTATGACTCGACTGTTTCGCATTTAAAAAACTTTTTTTTTCTTCCTTTTCTAATTTAGGTTAATTTAATTTTTTTAAACAAACAATTTTCATTAGAACACACCTGAATTCTATGAGCGTTGAGATTCTATTTCACAATATAACATTCCGGCTGGTCACATTACTATAATCAGTAAAAATAACGGCTACGGCTTCGACCCCGAAACTAAGACAAAAGATAATAAAATAAATGAGAGACAATAGAAGGAATAATATAACATGAAATGAAACAAGAAAGATAAACAGTCGTTGTAAGACTAGAATAATAAATGGCACAATCATTAAGTTAACGTTCCTTTTCTCTCATTTGCTTGTGTCATTCCTATTTTCTTTTCTTCTTCCAACTTTCATATATAGAAAAAGGAGAGAAAATAGGAAGTCTTGTGCAGAATAACGTTCTGAAATGAAAAAAAAAAGAATTAAGGAAGGAGATTTTCATTAACTAAACATTTTTTGAGTTTAACTTTAATTAAATTTCTACGGGTCATAAGAGTCAAGTCAAACTACTTGAAACTTGAAATGAATGCACAGTGTTCTGGTGGAGAACCTTTTTTTTTGCTCGCTCATTCCAAACATTTCCTTTTGCATTTTTTTCTTCTTTTCATTTTATTTGCTTGAGCCATTGTTGTTCAGCAGCTTCATGGCGACAATTTCATCTCATTCTTATTTTCCTTATGTTTTTCAATTCTTTAGCATGCGATTAGTGTGAGAATGACTGTTGCTCGTTTGGCGGATGTGTCGAAAGCAATGTTCAAGAAGTATTTAAAAAATCGAGGTTTTAAAGTCTTTTATCTATACTAGGCTTAATGATATCCACTGGCTTTAATGTCATTAACTTACTTGCTCTACTAGGGTCACGTTTCTCCTATACTAGAATGACGTCATGACTGTCCGTCTGAGTTACCTCTAGACCATGCCCCAATGCAAATCAAGCAGCCGACTTCAAAAATCTATGCAGAAGTTTTAAAATAAAATATTCATTCAGTCTCAAAAATATCCATCCATAGTAATGAAAATTCTTCCTCATTAAATAAGCAACATTTCATTCAATTTCAAGCCATTCTCTCTAGCTTCATAAATGTACACATTAAACTCATCCACTAAGCAAACAGAAACATTTTCCTACTTGTTTTTCTTCATTTTCGAAATATATGCTGGTGTGCTTCTGCTATGTGCATTAGAGCTTTTCGTCTAATGAGTTTTTAATTAAATTCTGATGCTGCAACCGTATGTTTACGTATTCAAAGGGTGGATTGGATAGAAAATGGGGAGTAGTGATGCTTTTTGGGCGATTTTCAGATTGAGAAAAAAAAATTTGTGATTTTTAAATTTGAAAGTTCAAGATGCTAGGGGTGCTTAAGTTACTGGTAGCTTACAATCAAGGCGTGGAAACTTTTCAAAACATCCCATTTATCCCATAAATCCCAAAAATATTCAAAATAATCCCTGAGCCTGTATGCGTTAGAATTGAGATATCCCATCATATCCTGAAATTGCACGTCCAATACACTAAGGATACGTTAGGAAATCTTTATCGTGCATACAAGCTCAGGGATTATTTTGGATATTTTTGGGATATTTGGGATAAATGGGGTATTTGGGATAGTTTCCACGCCTTGATTACAATCATTCGTTGACAATAAATATCTGGTAGCTAGTTATTAATAGCTAGTTGCTAGTTTTAAGTAGCTAGTAGCTTCTTATTATAAGCTATTAGCTATTTTATATTACTAGCTAGTAGCTAGTTATTAGTAGCTAGTAGCTTGTTATTGGTAGCTAGTAGCTTGTTAATAGTGTCTATTTATTAGCAGCTAGAAGCTAGTCACTAGTAGTTGCATAAATAACCATTCTTGGCATCTTCTACTAAAATGAAAAATTCTTGTTTTGATAAAAAAAAATCAGAAAGTATCCAACAATCACAAAATCCACCCAACATAAAAATTGTGCAGGGAAAGTGAGTAGTTTTATGTAGGAAGAAAAGAGACTTTTTTTATTCTCCTTCTTTCCTTAATTTTTCTTCAACATTTATCGGTCGGTAGGAAAACATGTTTGTGTAATTTATAGCTTATAATCATACTCAATCGTTACATGCAGTTCTTCCTTTCATTACATCTACATTAGAAAGAGAAAGTTCAATAACTTTTTAAAGTTTGTCAATTAACTTGTTACGAGTTTGTGTTATCGTGTGACATAAATCGCCTATCACTCCCACTTCCCATTTTTTTTTTCTTATGCATTTTATAATAATGAAGAAAAGTCATTTAGTTAAATGGAATAAGACTGTTTCTACAGATGAAACGTAATTAGTGTAGTGTGATATAATTTTATTAATTTTTCCTATTCCTTTTCTTCAATCCCCTCATTTATCAGCATGAGGTAGTCGCAGACCTATTCTTAAATTTTATTATATACCCATTTTCTATACATATTTATTCACCGTGAAATATCATGAACAAATTTTCAGTTCCTCTATATTCTTTCCATGGCAAATGTATGAATAAATAGAACAGAAATGAATTTTTCAGCAACAGGTCTTCCTCTCCTATTTCCTATTGCCACTTGAGACAATGGCGACGTTCCAACTGAACAATTCCACGGGCATGAACATTTTCTCTCTTACTATTGTGTTGTATAAAGTCACTAGCTTGTGGAAAATTCTATCTACCCATCTCCTTCCGCACTTTTACTCACTTATTATTGTTGTATAACTTGCTGCCATTTCTCATTTTTCCACTATCTGGGGGCCTTATGTTCTGCTGTATTCACACCGTTGGGTTTGGTTTTTGTTTGTTTGGGGTGATGTAGATATGGCTAAATGGCAAAACATTAGTAGATTTTATGCAGCATGGGGAGCATAGTGAAGCTGATGGTATTTGTGTATGAGGAGTAGCCATAGTAAGACAAACGAGATGTTTTATCAGTGGCTGAAGAACTTGCGGAGTTAAAGATTAATTCTTCAAGTGGGTCTAGTGCTAGTTCAATTCCCATACAAGTTTTGGAGATTAGCAATAGACTTATTTCAGACAATTACTCTAGGAAGACCACAATGAGGCCTGAAGAGGGCCAATCAGATCGTGGATAATTTGATTAAGTTTATACAACAATTCTAGACTTGATAAATTGTTAAAAAATAATTTAATAACTTCTAATTCTAACAAGCTAGCAAAACCTTCAAACTTAAGTATGTTCATCACTATACGTGGCTTTTCAGCAAGTTTAAACAACTTCAAATCATGCAAAAATATTCTAATCAGAAATTCAAAATCTAAAATTTTAAAATCCCATTAATTTTGTGAATTGACGCATGACAATCTTGATGTCAACCCTATTGACCGTGAAAACAGATAAGTCAAACCATTTATCAGGAATAACAATCTCAAAATCTGATAGATCGCAAGTGAAAACAGTTTTTAATTAAGATTTATCAGTTATTTGTTATATCGTGTATTTCAGCAATAATTAACAGCATTAATTTGTGAACATTTACGGAAGGAGAAGTTGAATGTCAATTTTAGTTTTTCGTTGCACGAAAATTTTGTATAAAAAGCTGTGACATGGGAAAGCACTTCATCATTTGAATTGTATCAGTAAAACAGTTAAAACAGTTTCCAAACAAATAATTATTCACAGTTTAACATACGTGAGAATCATGATCTTTAAAGTTGCTCTTGTTGTTGTAGTTTTGGCTGTTGCAGTCAATGCATCGCCTGCTGATAAGGTATAACGAGCATAATTGATTAAAATTTCGTAAAAATGTCAACCAAAATATTATTAATTCTAAAATCTAGGTTAAGCGTCAAATTCCAACCCCACCAATGCCCCCAGGCATGCCTGCTCCACCAATGCCACCAGGTTCGATAAAACACAACAAACAGATCATAATCACATTAATATTTTAATCTCTCTCAATTGCCATCAGGTATGATCTTTGCATTCGCTGATTTACACCGTGCAAAGAGACAAGCTGAGACAACTCCACCCAGTAGAGTTGCTCGTCAAGCTCCAGAAACAACCCCACCATCCAGAGTCGCTCGTCAAGCTCCTCCACCTCCACCACCATCCAGAATTGTTCGTAGCGTCTTTGGTGATCAAGAAGTTCCAAAAACTATCGCTCAAGAAGCTTATTTCTCGAAAATCACAACCATTAATGGTGAAAAGTAAAAGAAATATCAGAAATATTTTGAATATGATTTATTTTTGTAAGTAAACATTTATAAACAATTTATTATTAATAAACGTAACTACGATAAACCCTAAAAATAGATTTTCGATATTACTAAGTGATTTTTGTGTATGGTCAAGGGTTGTAATTGTATACAGCTCATTAGGAGAAGAAGAATAGAATTGAATTAATTTCGTTCTAATTTTAAAAGCTTTTAGAATTATTTGACTAATGAACGTTTAATCTATTGATTGAGGTCTGAGTCACGAGTTTATGCATTTTAATAAGAAGCTAGGATATGGTCAAATCTTAGAAAGTCTGTAGTTCATTCACAAACCCTATTAATGTTCCTACCAGGCGCGTAGCCGGGGGGGGGGGGGATCAAATCCCACAACGTAAACAGAAATTTCTTTATTTTGCTATGTTTTTTATGGAAAAAATCACAAAAATCTCCCCCCCCCCCCCCAAAATTTTTCCAAACAAAAAAAAATTTTGTCACCCCCCCCCCCCCCCCTCTGCAAATTTCTGGCTACGCCCGTGGTTCCTACAGATGAATATCTTCTCAATTTAAACGATAGACGTCATTTGTGAACTCCCCTTAACTCAAATCAGCTGTAAACCTACTCAAAAGAATTAAATTCCAACCTCCAAACTTGAAGCATATGCCTGTAGGTGTGAATAGTCACATAAAGTTATGACCTTCTTTTATCATGAGTCATTTAACTACTTTCTGCATGGTGAATCTTTTGACACCCTCGTCCAAAAGCAAGTATATTTACACAATAATAGTACAATGAAGACAACAGAAGCAGTAGCAGCAGCAATAAGGCAAGAAATTGTCTTCCTTTATTTTATATTTCCAACTGTACTTTTTGTGTTATTGTGTTTTGACACTCTCGAGTATCTTTCGACTTTATCTATCCATCTTTTGTTGATGTTGATTACGTTGCTGCTACTTGCTTGTACACGATTTATGTTGAAAATGCGGGAACAAACTCAATTTTCTCGTAAACGTAATTAGATATAATCAAAACAAGGAAATATGATGGAATGATGATGATTCCTTTCATCCATCTGCCAAGCAACAAAAACAATAACAACAAAAAATTTATAACAAAAGAAAGTCATAGGACAGCAAAAAATATAAGTTTGAACTAACACAAGCTCCGACAATGCTTGTCATCAGTGTATATTCTGCTACTGCTGTTGTTCGTACATCTTGAGTCTTTTTCGGGTAATTTCCTGAGGGGTTTAAAGCCGCCTTTTTTCACACTTATGATTCTTTCATCTTTTTTCCTCCTTTTTCTCACTGGTTTATTTTTTTTTTCTTCTCTGCCGTCTCTCCCCCATCTCCTTTTCAATGAGCAGAAATTAGATTATGTTTGCATTACAAAAAAAAAAACTTCTATCTTACCCTTTTTATCAAAAAATGAAATTTTCTTATTGAACATATTTTTAGAACAATTTATTTTTATGATAGTTGGGAATGTTGTTGCTTTATCTGCTGGTCTCTTGCATGATGATGTTGTTGATTAATTCAGGTGTCAATATTGATAGGACACAAAGTAAAATTTTTAATCCGTAGGGCGCAATACTGCACTAAAGTTTAAACTTTAATATATAGGGCGCAGTACTGCGCAATAGTATAAACGTTAATGTATAGCGCGCAATACTGTGCCATAGTATAAACTTTAATAAATAGCACGCAGTACTGCGCCAAAGTATAAACTTTATTGAATATAGGGCGCAGGACTGCGCCATAATACAAATTTGAATATTGGATATTTTTTGACCTTTCGAGATTATGATGGATATGTAACTAGAAATGTATTTGGAACGGACTGTAAACTAAAGGGGGGAGGCGGGAGGGGGTCGAAAGATCCCGAATAAATTAAAAATTTTATTTTCAAGAGTTAACTAATGTACTTTAAATAGAGTTATAAAATCTTTAATTCCGATTTTTAAAAATATGCGCTTCTGACTATCATCCTCAAGAATTTTCTTACTTGTTCATTTTCGTTTAAAAGTAAAGGTAAGAAAAAGACATTTTTTGTGATATAGAAATAAGAATGAAACGGAAGGGTAAAAATTTACGGAAATACACATGTTCATACATTCTAGCAGACTCATCAAGTACAAGAGTATGAAAAAAAAATCGTCAATATTGAACCCGGAAAATGCTGTCTGATTGTGATCATGAACCTTGACTTCTCCTCTCTCTTTCGTCCTGCTTGTTCACATTATATATAATATTATTATATGATATTGTAAAATGAAGATTGAGGGAATAGAAAAATTTAAGAAAATAATACAAAAAAAAATTCTCCTCCATAATCTACTATTAAAGTCATTTATGGTGTCGGCAGCACATAACAAAGTTTTTTTCTTCTCGCTTCTTTTTCTGTGTTTTTTTCGTATTATCAGAAAAGGCAGCACATTAAGTTTTTTTTTTCTTACACGAGAAAAGTACTTTTCTTCCTTTAAAATACACACACAGAAAGAGAGCAAAAAATTGAAAACAACATTAAACTTTGTAATTTTATAATGCTTAATTTCCATCCAACCTTTCCATATTTAATGGTTTTTCTTTTCTTTTCCACTTTATATCTTCTTATTTCTATTCTATCCGAGGGGTTTTTATTATTATTTTTTTCTTTTTTGGTTAAAATAATTCTCGTTCTTACGTTTCGAATGGGAAAAAATCACTAAATGGAATGAAATTTTAGACTTTGCTCACTTCAAGTGGAATTTATTAGACAACTTTTAATGAAATGAAAAGAGGCAAAATTAATTTGATGCTGTTAATTCTTAGCTGGTCATGATTTTGCATGCAAAATTACACAAATTTTGATTCTATTGAATATTTTTTTTAAAGTACGGCATTAATATTTTATGAGACAAATGTTTTTAAATTGTGTGAGGAGGAAGGGAAGTTCGGAATGTCTTTGATGATGAATTTAGTCAGAATAGAGGTGTAATGTACCTTATTTTTTAGAGATGATGTTCATAAAATATTCTTTTTAAATTAATGTGATTCAAAATGTGTTAAGTCGTGGTAATTTTTTTTATAAAATACTGAATATTGAATAATAAATTTTTGGGGAGTTTAGGGTAGCCGACTTAAATTTTTTATGCTCTTTACAAGAACTCGAGGTCGACTCAAGAATTTCATCGATTTTGTATGGCGAAGTCAACTCTATACAAAATTTCATCGATTTCGAGCTCTGGTCTTTACTCTGCTAGATTTAGTTTATTTTAGCCGCACAGTCATCTTCTTGTGCAAAAAGTAAGTCTTCTTTACAACTTTTTCTAAATCCAGAACAGCTCCCCAATGTTGTAACAAAAATGACAAATTCTAGCATCACAAATTATTAAAAATATTTCTTACAACAATTTAAAGCACATTAAAGATGTTGTGCTTCTTTAAATAAATAAACAATTTTGACTTCGTTCCAAAATTAATTTTTTGGCTTCTTTAAACATCTTAGATTGCCAAATCCATGAACTTCCGATTATTTATACTACATTAAGTAGCCAAAGTGGCTAAACTTGGATGGGATTTTTAATAAAAAATTAATTTTTACAAAATCTTCAGATCTCAAATTCGATATGAATTTAGAATGAAGTCGATTCGAACTGCCTTTAGTTTGTAGATTAATCAAGTTTACTCTTTCAAATTTAACTTAAAAATTATGATTAGAATTCCAATTTGTTTTGCATACAAAGTAACATAAAGTTGAGCTAACTTCGAATTGTTACTTTAATTCATACCCATATGCTCCTACAAATCAAACGTAATCATTAAATTCTTTTTAGTATAATTAGTGTGGGAAGATTCACTGTGAGGCAGATCCAGTGATTTAAATTTGTTTAACAAAAAGTATATGTGGAAGCTCCATTAAATAAAGTTCTCAAATCAGACTTTGTAAATGGCAAGAGATCACGTTTAAGGCCAAATAACTCATGGAAAGAGAGCATTGTATTTGGTATTGGGTATTGAGAGAGCCAGCTTCCGGTGGCATCTGAAGGAGGTCATGGATCACAATTGATCGGTATGACCAGCGGAGGAGGTAAGTAATAAAAAGTTTTGGAACCTCAATTTACAAATTCTAGCTTAGCTTTTAACTCTCAAATTGGTTTAATTCAAAATAATGAATTAGTTTGATCGTACTTCCATAATCCTGATAATATTCTTTAAAACTTGTTTTCTCAACTTTTCATCGATCTGCAACATCAAAATCCAAATAAACATTTCCATAGCTTCATAAAAAATTCAGCCATCAATGTAAAAATATTTTTTCAAATAAAATCCACCAACATTTCCCATCCATTTATCTCTATAAATCGCAAGTTTAACAATCGACAATGAATTTATTATTCCACATGCCATTCAACTTCGCAAAGATGTGAAAATTTTTCAATCTTTATTTACTTTATTATTATTGAAAGTTTTCTATTGCATTTCTTCTTCTCATCCCCAGCATCATCAACTCATTCCACAACCTTTTTCTTTCTTTCTTTCTTTATCATCAGTACAAGCGGGAGTCGGTATCATCAAAGTTTGTGTGTATACACGCTTCTATTCCTTCCTTTTCCCGTTCAGAGAGAGAGGTTGAAGCTCTCAATTTCATTGTGTAATGAGAGGGGAAAATAAAAAATTTAGAGATCAATTCCACAAAAAAAAACATTTAATGTGCATTTAGAGTTGTGAGGAATTTTTGTGCTGACAATTTTGAAATAAAATTTACCGTAAAAAATGTGGTAAATTACACAATTTGTAATAGAATCGGTCTCACGTGCCATGACAGCTCTGAGAACATTTTTCTGTGATTTGATGATTTTTCTGTATCTTATTTCAAATTAATATCTCGATAATCTCTTCTAATAGGTAATTAATACTCTATCAGGAGACTTCATTGACACAGAAAATGTCGAAGGAGACAACATGGAGGATATTTTTAATGTAATCACATTAACGGGGTTGTTTATAAATGAGGTAGATTAAAAATGAGGTTTTTAGACTCTTCTCTCGCTATGCCAGCCTCATGTTGGCCAGTTGCCACAGTTTTCACTTCCAAAAAGTTTAAAAATGCCCACAAAAATTTCAAAATCAATCAGACAAATTCAAATCCAAATTAAAAGGCTAATCCATAGCTCTAGTCCCCACATACCCTAAAATGATTGAACATCATTTATGAACAACCCCAGTCAGTATTCTTACACATTTAAATTTTT